TCTCCCTGGATAGCAACCGCAATGGTAGCAGCAGCTGCCATATTTGCTCTCACTCAAGCTCAGTCTCATCTCAGCATTATTATAGCTCTGCCTGCTCTACCATGAGATACTTAAACATACAGACCAGTATTCTAATTTGACGCTAGTACTTTGGATTTAGCCTATTATATACCTAATTTTAACCACCACTGTAAGTCAAAGACCAACTGGAAAACTTACTGGATGGTTAGGAACATCAATTGTTAGACTCCTGCAACCACACATTCCAAAAAATGTGGGGTTTTCATAACTACTTCTACGAAGTGCCATCAATATATTTAATGGTTCTATCTTTCATTAACTTTAAAGATAGTTTGTCAGCACTTGGCAGACTTTGGCCCTTTCTACAAATGTCACCTTTGCTAATATGACACAGAGCAGAAGTAAGAACCTATTCACTTACAGTGAGCTTCATTAATACAAAATGGGAAATTATAGTAATATAGATGGATAATCTATATAGATAGATAAATACATTTATAATAGAAAACATTATATTAAATATCCAGTTCGTTTACTAATGACACTTAAAAAAAGGATCATTCACACTGCAGCGGAAATAATACACCACAGTTACGGACCACTTATGCACTTAATTATAGTAAGTTCCATGTCTCAACATGAACTTACAATGGAGTTCATGATTTGATAGATAAAAATAATGAAAAAGATAGATCTGCACTGTGATTTCTATTGTGCTACGAATATAGAATGACAAGAAATATCCTGAGCAAAGGCAGAGGCTTAGGAAATGTATAGTGCAGTTTTTATCATGTTCATCATAAATTCAGAAATTTTCAGACCGTAAAAGCAGATAAGGAAAATGTTGTTACACATACACGTTATATATATGCATACAATTTTAAAATCTGGAACAGAGAATCTTATTTTTAAAATGGAACTTAGTTTCAAAGTTTTGAACTCACAGTTTTGACACCTCACAGATTTACCTCTTGCTATATTTTACAGTAGACTCTCCGGCAAAAAGCAACCAGTAGGTGGAGTAGACAGCATAATTTACCACATGATAACAATAGTATGGATTCTGTAGTGTTTTTTTCACAATTATGGGAGTCATGTAGAAGAAATTTTCTTCAAACAAAGGAAGCTCATGCGTCTCAGATGTTACTTGGCTCGTTATTGAAGTTATTGTCATACAAAGCAAGGTGATTAAAAGCTCAATATTTCATAAGCATAAAGTTTTAGAGTTGATATTTTATTTCTTCAGACATTTGGCAACTAACTTAATATCAATCAAATAAAAACATACTTTGTTTTTTCAAGACAACTCTTACACCTATAAAGAGCGTTGTATTTGTTTTGTGTGAACATTGCTTGCAGAGGCAAAAATAAGTAGTTTGTTTCTTTATAAAGCCATAAAGCTTTTTGTGTGTTGAAGTTAGCACGATGCATAACTAAATGTACTTTCACAGAAAGATAGTCAATAAGTCTACAGCAACAAATGAACACTACTACTGTTAATAAATATTGATTATGCAAATATCCTAACTTGGTTAACTTCCTTTTCTTTAAACTACTTTTGTAAAATAATAACATTTCTTTTATTCAAATGAGCCACAAAGTTCTTATCTGCATTAAAATATTTGGGTAAATGCAAAGTGCAAATAGCAAAGGGAAATAGTTGTATTTTGGTACATTCCTACGACAAAATGATCTCAGCTAATTATAATCTCAAAAATAATCTCAGTTAATTATTCACAAAAATATAGATAAAAAGGTAAATTATAGTATAATACCATACATTTTTTATAATCCAATGATTTCCCTGAATGTCACTATTTCATAGCAAAAGAACGCAGTACATTAGGAAAAAAAAAAGAGGTGGTAAAATGCAGAAGAAAATATAGCTTAAATGTAGGTATGTCTATATATTATTTTGCATGCAAATCAAACTTACTGTGTCTGAGTTCAAAGTATAAACACACTTCTGCCCGTATTTTGAGTTGATCAGAAGCTGTGTAACTGCATTAATTCTAGAGCTAATATAACATGGCTCTCAACAGGGCTAATTGGTTTGGGTACAGCCCCATGTTTTAGCTCCAAATTGGCTTGGAAAGTAATCAAAGCAAGCTCAGATCTGTCTATATAAGACTATGTGTATATATATGCCTGCTATCGGTAACAACAAATAATGCATGCTAATTCAGGTTTTGATAGCCACTTCTTCCTCAGTCTTTTTCTTTATAAAGGTAATTGTTAGTTTATGGAAGAAATATATGCTTGAATACGAAGTTAATTCAAGAGAAAGATAAAATATTTTGACTTCATCATAGGTCATACTATTATATGCATATTAGACACCTTTGAACATTCATGACACTAGCATTCTTAAATTTTATCTTTTAAACATTGCTTTTGAAATGCAGAATACTGTTAGCAATTAGGAATGGGCACAACCTTATACATATAGCCTGTGGCACAGAAAAGCAAATTCCATGATCAGTAAAAGATTCATAGACTTTAAGGCCAGAAAGGATCACTGTATCATCTGCTACTTCACGCAGCGCTACAGTGTTTGATTGTGTTCCTGTTAAACCTGTCATTTATTTCTGAGATGGTTGTGGGCTTCAGCATGTAGGCAGTAGAACTTGACATGCCTTTCTTTACTAAAATTGAAGACCAACTACTTGTTAATTCCTTTCTGTCAATAACTAAACACCCCTTTTTCCATGCCGGTAGTACAACAAGAAGATTCAAAGCTCTAGGACATATTTGAAACAGTTATTTCAAATAGAGATTTTGTAACACTGCCCAGATAACCTGTCTGAATATCTGCAGCCTTGATTTCTGAGGGTGGCTCAGCTCCATATCATTGTACCTTATTATGCATGGCAGGAAGGGGAGGCACTTGTAGCCAACTGTTACACATCATCTCCACAGCTCTTTGGGCTTTAGTTGATATGTAACTCTCCAATAAGTCCAGCTCATCAGTCTCCTAGTTTCATTTGCTGTGCCCTCTGCTTCCTTAACTCACTCAGAAGTGTTGACTTTGGCTGCCGGGTTCTACTGAGACATGGATGGACTCTGCTCAGTAATCCAATTAACTATCCTTTGAAGAAAGCAAGACGCAGCTTTTGTCACATCAGAAGACCAGGGATAGAGAAAGCAAAATGACAGACATAGCTGCAGCAAAACAGTAAATTCTTCACTGAAATAATATACTTTGTACCTTAGCAAGATATCAAATTCTATGACTGTGGAATTGTGGAATACAATGACTTTGGAATACACACAGTTTGATTACAACAAACAGTTTACTTCATATTTATCATGGTTGTTTTTCAGGTTGTCTCTAGATGTTGCATTGATTTACACTCATTCATGTTTTAAAATACTATCTGCAAAATGAGAAGATGGCTTTTGGAGCACACTTATGTGACAAAGGAAAAATTCTGTGGGCTCTGAGTCATGATATACATAAACTATTCCAGTAAGCAAAGTCAAGGGTATTTTGTTCTGCAAAACACTGCCAGTTAAACTCCAGTTCTGTAAAATTGGAAAGCTAGACTCATCAGAACATAATAGTTATTGCCACCCTTTACCAACAGTCCTCCAGGTAGATGGCTGACATAAGACACTGCTTAGTATTCCTAAGAAATGCATTATAGTTTGCTAACCTAGTATTATCAGTAGTGAATTGAGTCTACTAAAATTTTCTTAGACCACAAATCACTAAATGTCTCTAACCAGCCGATTTTTGTGCTGCTGGCAAGCATATTAATGTTTACACATTTGCTATGCATATAATGTTTTGCACAACACCAGAACTTCCATTTTCTATACTTCAAAATAATATAAAAACACTGCATTGAATATTCTTAATATTCTAGTTCTACATTTGGAAAAATTATTTATTGTGGCCTAATTTCACTTATTAAGTAACTCTGCTGTCTAAAAGCCTTTCATAAAAATACTTAATTTGATTTACATATTCAGTTTTCATAATTGATATCCTGTCAGTGTAACTATATTTCTAATAATACATTGATCACAATTGATTCCCAGAGGAAAAGACTAAATTTTCTGTCACAAAATGTTATGGTATTTTTCCTGCTTCTTTAGGACTAATATTTCTTACACACCAATTACAACTAACAAACTATGAAAAGCAAGCAGCGAGTAGGAAGCAACAAAAACCAAGCATTTAGTTCACACCAGCACACCTTGATTTTCATGTCAATGCAGTATTCATATGAAGAACACTCAGTCACCAACATTTATGGACATAAATTTTTTTCACAAAAATTTATACAGAAGGATCAACAAAAAGCAAAAACACAACCATTACCAACCAGATTAATTTTTATAAGATATATTTACTACCATATTCATCTATCTGCAAAGCAACATACATAAGACAGCTTGAAAAAATCTGAAATTTTTATCAGTACACAACAAAATAATCAGCAAATATTCAAAACATATATGATATTTCTATGTGCAAACAATCAAATAAGCCAATTCAGGCTGTTCCAGCAAAAGCTTTACCTGAAAACCTGCATTTACAATCTATCTTAAAAAACTGCAGAACACAACACCAATCCAAGCATTAGCTCAATTAAAAAAGGGGAAAAAATGAAATCCCTCCTCAGCTTAATAACTTGTTAGTTCTTGACAAGTGCAACAGCACAACAATAAGCCAGCCAAAATGAGTTTTTAAAGCGAGGTTATGCCCTTCGTGTTGTGTTATCACAGTGGCAGATCAAACTGCTGACTTGGACTCTTTCTGCCAGCAGTGCTGATGCCGCCTCTATGAAGCTGCTGTCAGAGAATAGTCATGGTACCTGCTCTTGCCTATAGAAAAGCACTAAATTGAACTCGAAGTAGTGTCTTTGTGATATCTTTTCAACAAGTCATGTCCCATTCAGCCTGCTAGTTTATCTCTGTCAGGCTGGGGGCCCAAGTGGTTTGCATGAGCTGTCAGGGACAGGTATACCAACCTGCTCAGTGCTAAGGAGGTAATGCATCTTTCGGGCTTGGTGATCCTTTTCCTTTTCTTTCTTTTCTAGGTCTTCCTTTTTCTTTTCTTTCTCTTTCATTTCTGCATACTCTTTCAGTTCATTTCTGAAATAAAATAACTCTGCTAAGTACAGTACAGTGGTAAAAGTCCTGCTAATGTTTTACTTTATTTTAACCCTTTAATAGCTCTTTCTTCATGATGTTCTGCTATTATTCATTAACAGTGTACCAAAATCAATGGGATGCTAAATTAGAGTACATTCAGTTCCACAGCAGCAGGATTCTACATGGATACAACTATGAAGAAATAGGATTAAAATGATGAAAGCTGCATTGTACATGTATCTTTCAATGAACCATGTCTATCAGTAGTGTATTAGTTCATATTGTTTAGTTATTATTTTGAATATTATATCAATTTATGTATTTTAATAGTTTGATAAAAGAGGATTCATGCATACTTTTTTTCTTTTTAAACATCATTTCAGCTTGAATTTTTCTGAATAGAAGTCACTTTAATTTAACAAATTTCCTTCAAACAATCTCAAAGTAAAAGTTGTTTTCTCATGTTTCAGACAGTGCCTTAGGACATTGCCTGATCTGTAAATACAGAAGACCCTGCAAAATGAAAAGGGGTAATAGACAGTGGGTAAGATTTGACATTCATTGCTAGACGTTTGAGCCTTTTGTAAGACGGAGTATGTACGCACAGAGAAGAAATGGATATAAACCTTTAAGTAATGTCCTTAAGAGAAATTTGCATAGCATTAAGTTTCTTGCACAGGTCAACTTTCTACTGTGATCTGATAGCCATGGTACAGGCCAACACAACAAACAAGAACATCACTAGAACATAACTGTCTCACAGGCCAGCATATGACAGACATTTGCAGGGGCATAGTGTCTTCTAAATGAATGGGTCTAGGCATTCAATAGGTCTTAGAAAATTTTTTCATTGTAAAAGAAATAAGAAACTTGTAAAGGAAATAAATAGGGAGCTGTACCTAACACCAGTTTTCATGGAGTGGAGAAAACTCATGATTCGAACTGAATGGCTAGAAGAAACTGCAAGACAAAATGGGCATAGCCTTTCTCCTCAATGGCTTTTTCTCCATAGGGCCACGTTTGCCCTATGTTATGCAAACAGTGGAGTAAATACATGTTCTATAAGAAACATAATTCTGTGCTGTTGTTCAGTGTACATGAATGGAATTTTTCTGACCCAGTAAAAAAGGTTAGTTTGATTAACATTTGTTATTGTTATTAAGAAATGGCTAGTTCAAATCAACCTGTGTGCCAAAGACACCACGTATATTTAGTCAAGCATTTAGATTGTTTAAAAGTTAATTAAGTGAACAAATTTAGTCCTTTTTTTTTTTTGAGTATGTGATAAAAGAAAAAGCAAAGAAAAATTCTATTCACTATTCACATATCTGGATAATTCAAATATTCCAGCAAAATGGATTATTTAGAGACTTTCACATTAACAGTTTCACTGGTTTCAATGGCTACTGAGCAAGAAGGTGAAATCCTGTCAAAACATGCATACGAATAAGTTTAGTGACATAAATTATAGCATGAGAAAGTCATATTGCTCCTGAAAGTGCTTTCAACATCATAACTTAACCTGTTATTCTTAATATTTTAACTATCATAATGCTGAATTCATCAAAATATGTGAAAGAGCAATAATTGCTTTATAAAATACAAAATTATGAAACTACATTCCTAAATGCAAGTTGCAATGTAGAATTTTATTTATTCATGGTATAATCTTTAAAGTTTTTTAATGAAGTATCATAAGGAAAATCTTAAGTAATTATGCAGGCTTTATGTCAAATATAGCAGACAAAAACGTAATGAAAAGGATATAAGTTAAGGATTGAAAAGATGTATAGGTCTGTTTCTATCTCTGGAAATATTTTTTGTTTCAGTTTACTGTTAAAGGCTGCTAATACAATATTTCATACAAGGTTACTTATGAAGCACACTGACGTTTAAAAATCACCATGCTATGCTTTTGCAGCAGTGTAATTTTTTTCCAACATAAGATTAAATTGCAAAATAAATGAATTACTTAGAGTGGCATGGCCCCCATTTTGCCACCCTTCTCTTGAAAATTGCTTATTAATATGAAAAAAGAAGTTGGAAAATAGCCTGTTTTACTTTATGCATAGTGTTTTGGGGCCTCAAAGCCACAGAACCGGACTAGCTGCACATTTTAGATTGTGTTGGCAAGCGGTACGATGACCTTTCTGACCTGCATCTCAAGGCTATTATTAATCGCTAAGTAACCTGGTAAAGCCAAACAAATTTGTTTCCATTGAAAGGATCTCTATCTGTGTCTGAGAATTTGTGCTGTACCAAACAAACCTCATTAACTGTGTCCATTTTTGACAAAGAACTAGGAGTTGGAGAGATTGGCGACCTTTCTTTGTCCTTAAGGTACAGATTTCAGAGTCACTGCATGTGGGAGCACAAGGATTTTAGTTGGAAACTCTTTGTTCTATATCAGTCCATCACAAAAAATGAATACATAGACAATGCATATAGTATCAACTTTGTTCTTTTATTTTATGCCACTTTAGCTTCAAAATCAGAGCATAAGATTGTACATATTTAATGCTGCTACTTGCTCTTTTTCATTACAGAGTCATCTATTCAGCCTTAGTACCACTATCCATAGCTGTAAACTGTCTATTAATATATTACTACAGCATCTTCAGGTTCTTATCTACTTCTTCCCAACAGGGAAAAGGAAGCTTCGTTATCCAGTATATAACTGCTGATGAAAACCCCTAAAGAAAAATGTTGACAAAGATATAAATTTGTGTTTCAGATGTAGTGATAATGGGAGGTAAAATGTTTTTCACTGTCATCAGTTTTAATTTACCAGATTATTTTGAATGAATGATTAATTATCATTATTTGCTGAAATTAAATGAAGTTTAGAATATTTGTTGAAATTCAAAGCAATTCAGGATCTTTTAATATAGTATTGTTATCCAAATCATCATGATCCTTTCCCAAATGTCACATATTTCTTCATTAATACTGTAACATAATCCATTGAAAAGTCCATTTCTTTTAAGTAGATACAACTGATTTTCAATGCATTTTTGCAGCCTACATATTTTTAGCCAATCATGCTAGTATTATTTGCATACTATTTCTTTCACACATTATGCTATTCTAGATAGTTGTAGCGAACACACACACAATTTTATTTTGGGGATGATAACTCCAGGATGACTCTTTCATGGGGGGTACCTCAAAATAAGGAGCATGAGGTGTTCCAAAAATTGCTACCCTGGAAAGTATAGGTATTTTAGCGTTAATATAGATTTATTCTAAAGTTACTTGAACCTAAAACTTTCACGTCTCTTTTACAAAATTTTAAGGGATTTGAATAGAAGGAACAAAATCAAAGAATCTAAAAGTAGTTGAATATGACTATACTATTTCATGTGTTAGTAAATTAATACTAACACATTAACACACTGCTCAGTGGGTTTCATTGTTATCATATGGAAAATAGTGTTTAAGTGATACTAAAGACATAAACTTCAACTTCCAGATAGAGGTCGACTTTCAGACAGCTTACATGTAATGTTTATCAAGAAGTTTCATGTTCATGACCTTCTACATGTATGTCTGCCTAGAGAAAAAAAATCCAAATTCTGCTCAAGACAATTGAAAATACCACTAAAATAAATGAGTTTGGGATTCAATCCTTACACTTAACCCCAACCGTCTCATTGTTTCTATACATCTCAAGTTCACCGCGCAATAGCAAGTAACCTTTTCCTGGAACTATATGATATAACGGATATCTCTAATTATGCATGATACATAACTTTCTCCTTTGTGCACTCTGTATCAGACTCACTCCTTCAGGATGAAGCTTCCATGTGTGAAGGGGGAGAACTGAACATGGGAAAATAATTTGGCCTGCATGTTTAAAGCTTCACCAAATGTTGTGAGAAAAAGAGGAGTTCTGTAAATACAATAAATGCTTTACATTAATTAATTTTCTTGTTCTATTTCTACAAATGATCTGTCTCTTGCATGGTTCAGAGCTGGGAAAGTACTGTTTATTAAGCTAACTGTTACAACTGAAAAACTGGGCAATATTTTGATAAATAATGCCATTTCTTGAAAAACTTCCTACAGACCTGACCTCTCATACAAGTTTTGTCCAATCAGAGTTACTATTACACAGGCTTTTTATTGAATTATTTTGTAGAGGAAATACATGTTAGTTTTGACAAATGTAGTGCCCTATCATGATCTGAAAAAGGTTCAACAAATCAAAAGAACATCAATGTTTATTGGGACAAGTTTAGGAGGCATTCTTCTGTTAAAAAAATGAATATAGAGGGCAACATAAAGTGTATGTTCCTTGTGATAGGGAATGTCTCATGCATTTCATGCATTTCTGCATAGAAATGAATCATTTTACAAATCTATATTGACCTTCATTTACTGAACTTTATCAAAACATTGTATTTTGTTTTTATTTTCACTGGAATTTTGTGATCTTGTGACCAGATAACCATAAAATTATAATAATATTAAGTAAAGTAAAGAGATTTGGGAAAATCTAAATTTAGTATAATTTGCCAGAAAGAATATAAAATTATTGTGATTTTAAATAGTTCAAATCCCGAATCACCAAATTCCTTTGACATAGGCAGTAGGTAACCTTAGCATAAAAGAAGATAACCTAAATAGATTTTACCTTCCTCATCCTCCCCGCTCAAATACAGAATATGGAACTAAAAATTAAATTAGTGGGATAACATTTTGATACACCACTGCATGCCACTTGACTTCACGTTACATTCACCTATGTGAGAACAGAATATGACCTGCCTTGATAACATCATTTCGCTTTATCTACTATACTTGAGTAAAAAATTAAATACACCTATAGGCTAACCTAGAACGTAAAAATAGTTTAAGGAGCTTCATGATTAAAGACAGCTTTTTAAAAGAACACACATACTACATTCTTATGTTAGCTATGTACCACCAGACAGCCTGATCATCCTGAACCTGTTTTTGATTATTTGTATGCAACTGTTCAGACACATTCAGCTAGA